GATTTGGGTCCCCAGGCAGGTGGGTGAGGAATGGAGCATGTAAGGTGTTCTCCCATTATTCTCTTAAACCTTTTGTGCCTTGTCTTCTAGCGAGTGTTAGCAGACAACAAAATGATCGAACGTGTAGCAAAGGAATATTATTAGAAAAACTCGGAAGTAGCTGATCCAACGGCTGGCGCTGTTTTCTTAACGTTTTTGCAGACATGTGCTTGTGGTTGTGATTTTTATATGCCTGAGGATGATACAGTCATATTTCCTGGTCGTAAAATGGTTTCTGGTTCATAGGAGGAAACTAACAACACCGCTCTCTCACGGTGGTTCTGCAGTCCCGCCTTAGACAAGGGAGCGAGTTGGGTTGGAGGGTCCCCCAGAGCTGCCCCGAGGGGTGCTGGGCTCCAAGGGGCTCACGGTGTCCCGTGTCCCCTGGCCTCGTGCACACCCTCTCTCACACCTGTCTGGGGCCCCTAACCCACCGTCAGGAACCCAGAGACCCCTGGTCTCTGTGCACGTGTGCTGCCTGGCCCCCTCCCCATCCCGCCCCTCTAATCGGGCTCTCTGTGGAGCGGGCTGTGTGTACTAACCTCCTCTGTCTGCTGTCTCCTTCTGGCCCCCTCCGCCTCCCACCCCGTAGCCATGTACTCCATGCGGAACCTGAGCCGGCCCAGCCTCACACAGTACGAGCTGGACAGTAAGTCTCCCTGCATGGCGGCTCCAGAACGGGGCCCACGCCTCCCACAGGGACGGGGAGCGGGGCCTCTGGGGAGGACACCTGACCACCGGCTGAATGGTGTGCCCGCCTCAGGCTCCTTGAAGAATAGGAGCCCCCCCGAGCACGTGTGACTTTCCGGAAACACACAAAAGCTAGAGGGTTACCAGGGAGGTGTCCTCCATCGGGTGCAGAAGGACAGAGGGAATGGCTCTGGTCTTGTGTGCCGTGGGGGGACCAGCGGGGTGACAGGAGGTCCATGGGGGGAGCTCTCGGTCTGCTGCTTGGATGGTGGGTCACTACCACCCACCTTGGCCCGTGGACGGCACTTCCCTGCACAGCTCTGTGTTTCAGGCTGACCCCCACCTCCAGACCGAGCAGAGTCCCCACTTTCCCCCCGGGGGGACCTGGGAACGTTCCTTACTCTCCTTCTCAAAAATTTTTAATGTGCTTGTTTCAGCAGCACATATAGTAAAAATTTTTTTAGCTTTTATTTATTTTTAAGAGAGAGAGAGAGAGAGCAGAGGCACATGAGCGAGGAAGGGGCAGAGAGAGAGGGGGGGTGCAGAGAATCCGAAGCAGGCTCCAGGCTCTGAGCCGTCAGCACAGAGTCTGACGCAAGGCTTAAACTCAACGAATGGTGAGCTGAAGTCGGACGTTCAACCCACCGAGCTAACCCCTCTCGCTCTCCTTCTGAAGTGCACGGTTCTCCCATCAAAGGCCCAGAGCTTGGGCAGGGGAGCCCCGTGCTCCATGTGAGGCAAAGCGTGAGACTATGTTGTCCTTACCCTTCCTTCATCAGCCAATGGCTTCATGGCCAGTTAACTTAGGGTGACCCCCCCACACCCACATTCCAGGCAAGAGGCAGAACTCCCCCCCCCACCACCACCGACCCGAAGCAGGGGGCCCAGGGACAGCAGTGGGAGAACCTTGTGGCCTCACCCCCAGCAGGGGTGGCACATCCCAGCCTGGGTGTCGGGGCCCACTCTCCCGCAGCTGCCCCTGTCTCCCAGCTTCCGTCCAGGCATCTCCCCCCAGGACCCCCAAACTTAGCAAAAACACTGTGTTTCTTAGCCCAGAATTCACATCCGATAGATAAGCCCCTTCCCTGAGGGCTGAGCCCCTTGTGTGAAGAGCTGTTTGATGGGGACTGGGCAGCTGGGAACTTCAAGCATCTGCCGTGGGGGGGAAGGGGTGACCCGTGACCCGGTGTGCCCAGGACAGACAGGAAAGGGGGTAGCCCAGTGTGTCAGGGAGAACAGTTTGGTTCACACCAGTGAATATTAATAGTGTCTCTTTAATTAATTAATTAATAGTGCATGAATATTAATAGTGTCTCTTTCAGTCTCTAAAGTATCTGGTGTGTGCACCGTTGGCCAAGAAGCCAACCATAGACCTGTGTCCCGACTCCCAGGGGGGGAGGCACGGCATCCCCCGGCCACCCCACCCCTTGCCTTTTCCCTCCCGAACCCTCAGGCAGGAACTAGAATCACAGGTACATCTTCACAGCCTCCAGCCTCCAGGCTGTCCCCCGCAGGGATGGTGACTTCTCCGTGTTTCTCCCCTCCCCCACCCCGCAGACCTGAACAAACACCGGCGATATGAGATACGGATGAGTGTGTACAATGCCGTGGGTGAGGGGCCCTCGAGCCCCCCCCAGGAAGTCTTTGTCGGGGAAGCAGGTGAGCCCCACCTGCCCTTCCAGCCCCAGGAGTCCAGCTAGAGGAGATACGGGATTCTGGGGCCCCAGAACACCCCGACTCACCTCCTCCTCTCTGAAGCCCACTTGTGCCACTCACTCACGACCTCTCACGCCCTCCAGTGCCCACGGCAGCGCCCCGCAACGTGGCTGTCCACGGTGCCACGGCCACGCAGCTGGACGTGACATGGGAGCCACCGCCGCTGGAGAGCCAGAATGGAGACATCCAGGGTTACAAGGTACGGGCTCCAGAGGGGCAAAGGGCCAGCTCGGGGGTGGGAGTGACCCATGGGTGGTAGGGGGGAGAGGTCACCAAGTATACACCTGCTCTCTCGGCCGTTCGCGCCTGACCCACTGAAATGGTGTGCGGCCGATGCAGAATTACAGGCATGCTCTCCAGCATCCTCGGGGCGGGCCCAGCTCAGATTCAGGACGTTTCGGGCCCTGCTTCGGTTTGCATCCTCTCCCGGTAACACCCCCCGCCCCAGTCCAATGCCGGCATAAGACCCCCTCAAAGTGGGTCTTTGGCCAACCCGAATTACGGTATTGATTTGGCCAATTAGTAGAGGACCGGCGGGCTAAGACGCAGAAATCGCTGCTTAAAATTATCTCTAGATCTCCGTGGAGGTCATGTGTTACAACAGAATTCAATTCGTCTCCAGTATTCAGCGGAGCCCTTTAGAACTCCTTTATCTTCCTGAACGCCCGGTGAAGCTGGCAGATTATAAATGTTTGAGCCCATTGTACAGATGAGGAAACCGAGACCCGGGTTAGATGGTCCGGCAAGATCACACAAAAAGCAGGTAGCAGACAGTCAGGCTGCCGGAGAGCCTGTGAGGGGTGGAGAGGGAGGGGGCGCTGAACACAACCACCCGAGGAGGTGGTGGACAAAATAATAATGACGTGTCTTCTCGGTCGGGGTCCTCGGCCTCGTCGGAGGCCTGCGTCCCGTGCCAGCATCCTGCGCCTCTCTGCTTCCAGCGGGTGGTTTGTCAGTCCAGAGAGAAGCCCAGCGCAGTGGTGGGGTGGGCAGGTGTGAGACCCCCAAGGGGCCTCGTGGGTTACTTGGCAGAAACTGAGTTCCCACAAAGGGAAGGGGCTCGCCTGGGTCACTAGCTTGTTCATGTAGGTGGCCCCGGTTTAAGACAGCAGCCCGTGCAGGAGTCTCTTTCCACGTGAGGGGGAGGAGGCGGGAAGGAGGAGGAAAGGCGTCTTGCTAATGAAGCTCTAAAGACGGATGACAGGCCTCCAGTCCGCGAGGAGGGCCAGCTGGGAAAGCTAAATATTGCCGCCCCGGCGTATGCCTCCCACGGGGAAGTGGGAGGAGCCGGGGCGGGGCCTGCTGCATTTAGTAGCCCCCAGACTGCCGAGGCGTGGAAGTCTCCAGTTAATGTGCAGACGCAGGAAATGTGAGGATGCACAGACATCATTTATCACACGGCAGATGTCTGCGTGCTCCGGAAAACATTGCCGCTGTGGACATTAACTGGGGACACTGAGTAACTGCATCCCAGACGCGTATTAACATCCACATGAATTAACACCGACGTTAAGGATGTATTGACATCACCAGCCAGTGAGCACAGCTCAAACCCGGGCAAGTGCGTCCATTCGGCTACGGTCTTGCAGTGACGCGTGTTTATTGAGCTGTTATTTTGTGCCCGGCGGGGGTCTCAGTCTGGGAGTGAAGCGGTGATCGGAGAGGCCACCCGAGCTTAAATTTTAGGGGAAGAAGGCCAACGGTGCACAAAACAAGTAACACCTGCCGATGGTGGTAAATGAAGCAGGTGGAGGGGGTAGAGAGCGCAAGCCAGGGGGAGGTTTGGAATTTTAAGTAGGGTCATTGGGAAAGGATTTAAGGGGAAGCTGCCGCTTGAGCCAAAATGAAGAACAGGGTGAGAATCACATGTCCTTCCGGGGGAAAAACATTCCAGAAAGAGGGAAAGAAGAGCAAAGGTCCTGGGGTCCGTGGGTGCTTGGCATTTACAAAGAGCCCCGTGTGTCCCGGAGCACGTGAAGGGCGGCGTGGTGGGAGATGGGTCCCAGCAGTGAGCTGGGCGGCGTCACCCAGAGCCCTCAAGGGCTCTGGCTGTCGCTCGGAATGAGAAGACACACGTGGAGGGTTTGGGGCAAACGACGGACATGACTGACTTGGGTTTTTTAAAGGCTGTGGTGGGTGCTGTGCGGGGAGGAATCTGAGATGGGGAAAGCAGGAAACCGCCAAGAGAAGGCTGAGTAATCTCAGTGAGGCACGGTGGTGATGTAGCAGCAGCGAGAGGCGTTTGCTCTCCGGGCTCCATTCGAACGTGGAACTGGTAGAATTTGCTGAACTGAATGTGGAGTGAGGAGAGGAGAAGCGACAAGAATTTATAAGCAATTGGTTGATGGAGCCCCAGTCACAGAGCAGGCAAAGGGGGTGGAGGGAGGAAGAGGCTGGAGTCAGGTCCAGACGTCTACTGGGCATCCAAGGGGAGGCGCCAAATGGAGCTGGACATACACGTCTGGCGTCTAGGAGAGTCTAAGCTGGAGATGTGGAATCCTCAGTATATGGAGGATACTGAAAGCCCCGAGATTACGTGTAGGTAGAAAACACAAGAAGACTGAAAACGGAGACCTGGGACCAAAAAAAAAAAAGTGACTGAAATCTCGGAACCGACATAAAGAACACACTTCCTGAAGGAGGAATCTGATGTGCCAAATGCTCCTGAGAGCTCAAGCAAGTGAAATCTAGAAAGTGAGTGTGCAGGGATTGTCAGGCTACAGCCCGTGGGCTCCCTCTGGCCCCCCACTTGTTTTTGTCAATAAAGTTTTATTGGAACACGGCCACACTCATTTGTTTATACATCGCCCTTGGCTGCTTTTGAGTTACAACCGAGATGTGTGGCCTGCAAAACCTAAAGATATTTATTACCTGGCCTTTGACAGAACGCTTGCCGAACCCTGGATGATTGCATTAACCGACAAGAGTTGGGGGCAGGGGATGCCTGCCTGGAGGGCTTCCAGAGAGAATGAGCGGAGGCAGCGACTACAGATAGAGATCCCTTATAAGGAGTTTGGCTTTAAAGGGAAAATGGAGCAGGAACTAGAAACAGTCAACAGATGGGGGTGGGGGGTGGGGTGGAGATGGAAGAAATGACAACTTGTGTGAGTGCTAATTGTGGTCCCGGAAAGAGGGGAAACGTGATTCCAGGAAGAGCAGAAGCTGTGGTAGGGTGCAGTCCTAGAGGAGGCGAGAGGGGCTGGGATTTCATGCTGGAACCTAAAGTATTCTGGAAAGGAGGGGGCAGTGCCGCCATGGGGGCCGAGGCAGACAGAGGGTATGGACCCAGGGGCTGGAGGAGGTACAGGTGGTACCAGGAGCTTGCACAAATCTCGCCCGATGGCTTCCCGGTGAAGGGGCCTCGGCTAGGAGTGAGGAGGGGCAGGGAGATGGGGGAGGGATGAGTGAAACCTGGATTTGGAGATGGGAGATGCGCGGCAAGTGGACCAGGGCCGGTGGCCAGCCCGCCCGGGGCGAGGCTGTGCTCTTGAACTGAAAGGGTGAATTCCCTCCGGAGGCAGCCCGGCTGTGGCGCGTGGCCGTGAACCTGATTTGCCAGAGGCATGCTGTTGGCCCATTGGATGTGATGAAACCACAAGGGCAGGGCACTGAAATCGCAGATACAAGGGGGGCGATTGTGAGAATTCACTCCTACACCCGCTCCTGCCTCCAGGAGGTGTTTATTCGTTAGCAGGTATCTATGGAGCCAGTGTGCCCACAGGTACGATTCTAGGTGCTTGGGACACAAGGGAGCCCAATCCACCAAGACGTCAGCCCTCTGCGAAGTGTGCGTTCTAGCAGGAACCCGGCTACCTGTTGGCGTGCGCTACGACTCGGCCGTGTGCCCCTCGGGGGCCCGGGGTCAGCGCTCAGCCCTTGGTGCCATCCATGGAAGTGCCAGCCGGTGGTCGGCTGGCAAAGGTCCGCTGGATTCGGTGTGCACGCACCAGAGAAACCCACTGAGGGTGCCTCGCTTCTGTATGTGTGGTGGCCCTGGGTCCTGGACCCCGGTCCTCCCCACCCACCCAAGAACAAGACTCCAGCACTGGCCCCTCTCTGCCGCACCCTTCTTTTCTCTCCATGGGCAGGGCTATAAGGCATTCTGAAACCCGTTTCTTCCTCAGAGTGCCTTTTCCCGACCTCACGTATCCCTCCAGCTGTGAGCCATTTCTCTGGTTGGTCCCTTCATAGGAGAAATCCTCAAAAAGAATCTTCTAGACCCTGCCACCTCCAGTCACTGTCCTCCCGGGGTCTCTTGAACCCGCCCTAAGTTGGCTCTCACCCCTCACCCCCACTGTCCCAAGTGGGTTCTCACGCCCAACCCCACTGCCCCACGTGGGTTCTCACCCTCCACCCC